GAGGGGGGGGGGGGCGGCGGAGGGGGCGGCGAGCGGCGGAGGGTGTGGACGCGGGCGGGAAGATTGACTCTCGCGTCTCGGCGGCGGTGTCTCGCCTCGAGGTAGCCGCAGCCGTCCGCCTCGACGGAGCGGGGGATGCGGATCGAGCAGCCGCGGTTGGCGACGCCGTACGAGAAGGTGTTCATGTCGGCCGTCTCGTGCTTGCCGGTCAGGCGGCGCTCGTTGCCCTCGCCGTATGCGGCGATGTGGGCCGAGTGGCGCGCGCCCAGCTGGCGGATGGCCTAGAGAAACCAGAAGGAGGATGCACAAGAAACACGTGGCCGCTTGGCGCGCGCCCCTGCTGGCGGGGGGGCCGTGTCGATGGCGGCGCGGCCGCCAGCCTTGCGCATCTTCTCGGTGGAGAAGTTGGTGTGGCAGCCGGCGCCGTTCCAGTCGCCGTCGATTGGCTTCGGGTCGAAGGTGCAGTAGACGCCGAAGTCCTCGCACACGCGCTGCAGGATGTAGCGCGAGACCTGCGGCGCAGCGCGCGGCTGTGTGGGGGGGGGGGGGGGTAGCTCCTGGGGCCCGGTGCTGCCTTCTGGCTGTCGTCGCTGTCTGTCTGTTCTCGACTGCCCGTGGCGCGCGATCTGGGCGCGGGGCTGTGTATTTGCGTGAGGGTGTGGCCCCGGAGGGTGTTGCCCAAGCTCGCGTCGCTGCAGGAGGTGGCGCGTGGCCAACAGCTCAACGGCCGGAGTATCTCGGCGACATCTCGGCGACATCTCGGCGACATCTCGGCGACGTCTCGGCGACATCTCGGCTACATCTCGGCCATCAGCTCGTCGGCCGCGGCGATGCCGACACACGGCCCAACCTTCGGCAGAGGCGTGGGGCAGGGCAAGGTGAAGGCAGGGCAAGGTGGCGGCGGGGGCAGGGCAAGGTGAAGGCAGGGGCAGGGCAGGGTGAAGGCAGGGGCAGGGCAAGGTGAAGGCAGGGGCAGGGCAGGGTGAAGGCAGGGGCAGGGCAAGGTGAAGGTAGGGCAACAGTGACGGCGGGGGCAGGGCAAGGTGAAGGCGGGGCAAGGTGAAGGCAGCGCAAAGCCTCTGGGCGGCATCTGGGGGCCGACCTGGTACTCCCACTGGCCGGGCATCACCTCGGCATTGGTGCCCGAAATGGCGATGCCGGCGTAGAGGCAGGCCTTGTAGTGCGCCTACACAAAAAGAAAGACGCCGCTCCACCAAAGGAGTGCCGAGCCCGCGACGCGCACGCCGTGTGGTGCGCTCAGGGCGCGTGGCGTGCGCCCGTCGGTGGAGTGTCTTGTCTGTGCGGTCGGTGTGACGCTCCAATGTGGCCGTCCTCTCCGCCTCGCATAGCGTCCCACCCCACGCTAGCGCCGCAATGACCAGGTCACCGGTCAGCCACTGTGGCTGTTCACCGTTCCGACTACCTAACTCGCGCGCCTCGGAGATGGAGCGGCCGAAGGAGCGGTCGGCGCCAGCGCCGCAGTAGTACGGGCCCTGCGCGCCCGGGAAGCCGCCCTGCGGCCACAAAGCAAGGTCGCATCAGGTTCACGTCTCCACACACACACACACACACACACACACACACACACACACTAGGCGGCGGGGCAAGGGCCGGGCTAGTCCCTCGCGACTCCACGTCTAGACGACAGGAGCCCCGCGGCATTCAAAGTGCAAGGCCCGGTGCGCGTTGGTGAGCGGTGTGAGTGTGAATGTGCAGCGCCGTAGGACGTGTTTGCTTCTCAGTCACAGGTCTGTGAACCTGCGGCCATCCGAGCGGCGTGACCTTGTCCAGGTTGAAGAGCGTGTACTCCTGCTCGATCCCGAACCAAGGCACCTGGCGGCGGCGGACCAGGGCTGGCTGCTGGGCCGTGCCGGGGGGGCCGTGTATGTGTGTGGTGGGTGGGTTGGGGGGGCTACTCTCCCCATCGACAAAGAAGACCTGTGCCCGGATTTTTTTTTTGCCTTCTTCCCGATTTTTCCCGTCC